CTACAACTGGATACGCTCGGTGTATCGTCCTCATAGGTGCTTTATCACTTGCATCCGACCCTTGTGTTAGGTCCTTAATGCACCTAGCTTCACCAATATTATGACCCCTTACGTTCTTCAAACAATAAGGTTTGAATTTCACCGACAGAGTGATCTTTCAACACCGTGTCGGACAGGTGTTTGGGAGCCAGAGGAGCATGTGCCACCCATGGTTGCTCACTCAGTACTAACCCAGCCAGCAGCCCTAGGACATTCTGGGAATTTTTTCTAAGATGGCTGCCTCTCACTGGAGGTCTCAAGAGCCCATTTTGTACACAACCTACCGCGCACAAATTTTGAATGGATACGAAATATTCAAAAGGTGTTTACTCGGTTGGCGCAGTTTCCCACCGACTGAGTTTTCTCGGTTGGCACACCACAGTTTTCAATTTAATAGTTGACACCCCTAGTGTCAACATCTGCATCAAAGAAGCTCCAGCATATTTCAACAATCCTAAGTATTGTAGTACAGGTTGATGATAGAGAGTGGTGTCCCAGGGAACATAAAGGTATAGTGTTTTTGAAAAATAGATGAGATAACAGGAATGTGCTAAGGGAAGTGAAAAAATTGGACGAGAAAAAGTTGCCCTAGCATTTCCAGTGCAGAGAAGAACATTCAAGATGGCCGCCGGCAAAAGGAAAACCAAAACAGAGCTTCATTTTGGGGGATTCAATGAAGAAAGCATTGATATAAGCAGCCTACACAAGTTGGCAAAATTAGATACTATAGTGAGCTCTCATGAAGAAATAATCAGCAAATTGAAAGAAAGTAATGACCATTTGTGTAGCAAAGTTTTATGTCTTGAGGGTTTAGTGAAAGACTTGTGCAAGGACAAGAATCAATTGGAAACAAATTGCAAATCCATGAAAGAGGAAAATAAACTCTTAAAAATAGCTTCGGAAGAAGTTAAAGTAAATTTAAACATAAATGACTACAATAGGTTAGGTAAGGAAATTCAACATGAAAAACAGCTTTTGTCAGCACAGATGGAGGAAGTTACACAGGGAATAGAACAATGCAAGAAGGATATGCAACTCACCTATGCACAAATAGCCAAGGAGAAAGGAAAAAATTGAAGAAGCAGTAAAGGAAGCCAAACACTGCAGCAACCAGGATAAAACAAACATTAGGTTGGAAGTGAGAAAGGAATTGGCATCTAACCCGAAGTTGGTGCAAAACACAGTTGATCGGAGTAAGTCCCAGATAATTTTTGGTTACAAACAAATGGAGATAACATCTAGGTCAGAAAGAGCTGAAGAAGAAGCTAAAGTAGTTTATAAAACTGTTGGCCTCGTGGAAGGTCTTACTACCATAGAGAATGTGTGCGGCTACAGGAGAAAAGGCGGGTACGTAAAAGGGAAAGTTCGACCTTTGAGGATCACCCTAAAAGATGCCAAACAGATGGAAGAAGTACTAAGGAATGCTAGAAAATTACAAAGTGATGAGGATGGGAAAGTGTGGTTGTTAAGACGAGATCTTTCAAGAGAAGTCAGAGAGAAGCTGAAACTAAACTTCGTAGAGGCAAAACATCTAAATGAGAGCAGAAACGAAGAAGAAATCAATTCTTTTTTCTACGAAGTGATAGGGGTAGGCAGACCAGTAAAGTGGTACATAAAGGCAAACCAATAAAATTGCTAGAGAGAGGTTTAGTGAAGAATAAGGAGAGGGGGAACATGTTCCTGAAAATAGTATACACCAATGTAGATGGAGTGAGATTGAAGATACTGGAGTTAAGTGATGTAATACAGCTGCAGACACCAGACATTGTTGCACTCACAGAGACAAAACTTGAAGATGTTATTTTAAATGAGGTCATATTCCCAAGGGGCTACTCAATTTGGAGACGGGAGAGAAAAATTATGAAAGGCGGTGGCGTTGCTATGCTGGTGAAAGAACACCTAAAGGTGAACGAAATAATGACTGCCAATCCACGAGAAGTTGACGTAATAGCACTAGAGATCTGTCATGAGGATGATAAACTAATAATCATAAATGCATATAGTCCACCGCCAAGCAACACATGGATAAAGGAGGCGCTAGATAGTAAACAAGAGGGTCTTATAACAATAATGAGAGAGATTATACCGAGATCGGATAAAGATAGATCAAGACTGTTGATAGTCGGCGACTTCAACTTGAAATCCATAGACTGGGAAGCATATGAAGCTAGAACAGAGGATTTTTGGACCTGTAGATTTGTAGAATTCATCGTGGAAACGTTCTTGTATCAACATGTTAAACAAGCTACAAGGATGAGGGAAGGGGACGTTCCCTCCATGCAAGATTTGATATTTACCAGGAATGAGATGTATGTCAAGTTTTGTGAAATATATGATAAAGGCACAAAAAATTTATACCACAGCAGAGATGCAGAAAAAGTTAACAGGATTGGTTCAACAGAAATTGCGAGAGGGCCAGAGACCAAAAGACCAAAACTGGAATCAAGATAGGAAGAGGAAAACCCCCAAACATACCGGCGATACAAATATGCGAGAAACAACTACACGGCAGTGAGGAGAGAGGCAGAAAGAAATTTTGAAAAGGGGATTGCAGACAAATGTAAAACAGAACCAGGTCTATTCTCTAAATTCATAAACAACAAATTGCAGGTAAAGGATAATATTGAGAGGTTGAAAATGGGAAATAGATTCATTTAAAATGAAAATGAAATGTGTGAAACATTAAACGAAAAGTTCTAAAGTGTGTTTGTACAAAATGAAATCTTCAGGGAACCAGACACAATAAGAATTCCAGAGAACAATATAGAGCACATAGAGGTGTCTAGAGACGAGGTGGAAAAAATGCTCAAGGAGCAAAGTAGGAACAAAGCAGTTGGTCCAGATGGAGTTTCACCATGGGTTCTGAGAGAATGTGCACCTGACCTCAGCATTCCACTTCAACTGATTTTTCAGCCATCCCCGTGTACAGGAGCTGTAGCTGATGTGTAGAAAAAGGCTAACATAGTTCCAATCTACAAAAGTGGCAGCAGGGAAGACCCCCTCAATTATAGACCTGCATCACTGATGAGTGTAACAGTCAAAATATTAGAAAAAATAATTAGAACTATATGGGTAGAACACCTGGAGAAAAACAATATAATATCAGACAGACAGTATGGTTTTCGATCTGGAAGATCCTGTGTAACGAACTTACTCAATTTCTATGATCGAGCCACAGAGATTTTACAGGAAAGAGATGGTTGGGTTGACTGCATCTATCTGGACCTAAAAAAAAGGCTTTCAACAGATTTCCCCATAAGAGGTTGTTCAGGAAACTGGAACATATTGGAGGGGTGACAGGTAAGCTTCTAACATGGATGAAAAATTTCCTGACAGAAAAATGAGGGCCATAATCAGAGGCATTGTATCTGACTGGAGAAATGTCACGAGTGGAGTACCACAGGGTTCAGTTCTTGCACTGGTAATGTTCATTGTCTTCATAAACTATCTACCAGTTGGAATACATAATTATATGAACATGTTTGCTGATGATGCTAAGATAATAGGGAAGATAAGAAGCCTAGATGATTGTCATGCCCTTCAAGAAGACCTGGGCAAAATAAGTATATGGAGCAACACTTGGCAAATAGAATTTAATGTGAATAAATACCATGTTATGGAATGTGGAATTGGAGAACATAGACCCCACACAACCTATAAATTATGTGAGAAATCTTTAAAGAATTCTGACAAAGAAAGGGATCTAGGGGTGGTTCTAGATAGAAAACTGTCACCTGAGGACCACATTAAGAACATTGTGCGAGGAGCCTATGCTACACTTTCTAACTTCAGAATTGCTTTTAAATACATGGATGGAGAAATGCCAAAGAAATTGTTCATGACTTTTGTTAAACCAAAGCTGGAATATGCAGTGGTTGTATGGTGCCCATATCTTAAGAAGCACATCAACAAACTGGAAAAGGTACAACAACATACCACTAAGTGGCTCCCAGAACTGAAGGACAAGAGCTACGAGGAGAGGTTAGAGGCATTAAATTTGCAAAAACTAGAAGATAGAAGAAAAAGAGGTGATATGATCACTACGTACAAAATAATAACAGAAATCGATAAAATCGATAGGGAAGAATTCCTGAGACCTGGAACTTCAAGAACAAGAGGTCATAGATTTAAACTAACAAAACAAAGCTGCCAGAGGAATATAAGAAAATTCAAAGTGGTAGACGGTTGGAACAGGTTAGGTGAGAAGGTGGTGGACGCCAAAACTGTCAGTTGTTTCAAAGCGTTATATGACAGAGTGCTGGGTAGATGGGACTCGAGCGTAGCTCTCATCCTGTAACTACACTTAGGTAATTACAGTGGTTAAGCAGTCTCTGAAATACAATTGGGTTCATTCTTAACTCACAATCTGGAATCCCGGGTTCAAATCTTGGGTAGGAAAGAAATGGTTTGACCCATTTCCTTTGCCCTCTATTCACCTATCAGTAAATAAGTACCCGAGAGTTAGCCAACTTTTATGGAATTGCTTCCTGGGGAAGTCCAGTAGTTTGACCTTATGAGTTAAGGAACCTCAATACAAGCTTAAAGAATATATCTAAACATGCATCTGCCTGTCCCCAATAAAAACTAGTAAGAAATAATATGTGAAGACTAGTAAAGACCTTTCAATGCTAACATCCATGTGCATATGGGAATCCCACAATTTCAGACTTTTTATTGTATATAAATGTCAGATATAGAATGGAATATGAAATGACACTTAATACAATATTTAATACAATAAATACATACAGTATTTCATATCAGATTATTACGAAAACCAAAACTTCCTTAATTTGTTTGGATATTAAGTGAATACATAGTATGTAACAGCATATAAAAATAGAAGAAAACAATATAATAAATCATTGTTAAATTTTAGTATTAAGTGATTTCCATAGATTTTTTGTGAAGAGTAAAATTTAAAATGATGAATTACTTAAATATACAAGAAACAAGGTTACCTGTGCAACATTCTTTGCTTGCTCCAATGTGGCTTTTGCAGCTTCTGATGCTGCTGAAGCCTTCTCTGCTGCTGTTGCAGCCATTTGGCCTGCTGAAGCTGTGCTTAGTCCTCCTGGCATTCCATCCATTTTTGCTGGAGTGCCAGGGGTAGATGCTACAGGAGGCTTTTTAACTTGGCCGCCACCTGCACCAGTTCTTTCGGCCCTCAATGCTCTGAAAAATACAATGAATCAAACTAAATATTGAATTAAATGCATAAGGGCAATTAATGGAACTAATGGAGACACCCAAGTACAGAGTGACCCAAATGTAATTGAAGCTAACATCCAAACCAACCTAAAATATCCCATTTCAACTCCATTAATGTGTTACTCCTTGGGAGAAGTGTGCTGGCTGACATACTTTGTTTCTCATCTCAATGCGTTTTCCCATCTACTCTGCTACCATGCACACTAAGCCAAAGTCAGTGAAGGGTAATAAGAAAGTTAGTACACCTGGAAGGGATAACATTAACAATGATAACACCAGTGGAAGAGCAGCTGTTTTTCCCTCTAGTGCTGGGGAAAGAGGGGTACCAAATCTCTCCACAACAGTAACACCACCATCTCAACTGGGTGGCATGATGTCATCGGCATGTTTGACTCGGCCTATGCTACAAATTAATCAAAACATCAAACACCTTAAACGAGCTGTTGGCCCTTGTCTCGACTTCATGTACTTCAATGAGAACCCGTGGTTCAGGATATTAGTCCAGATACTTTAAGGTCAATTGATGATGATCAAGTCGACCCTAATAACGAGCCTGCAAACCAAAACCAAAGCAAGGCTAATGCAAAATCAGTAACTGTCTTCCAGAGTTGATCTCCTCCAACAGGAAATAAGCTCTATTAGGCACACTGTTACACAACTAAATTCAGCTGAAACCACTGAAACGTTGTGAATTTCATCTTCAGACAGTGATTTTTCAACTGCGCAACCTACAGAAGAATGGGAGCTTGAGGCATATGGATCTGCCATAGTGCTCACTTGAAGCTGAGCCTACCCGTAGCTGTGAGGCATGCTCAGAATATATTACAAATTGGCTGACACTCACTGGAGGCCTGAGGCTTCCATCTGGTACCCAACCCATTGCACCTGAGTTTGGAATCTTATGATATACAGTCCAGTACAACCGTAGTCAATTTCTCCGAAAAATTTGATTCGGTACTTGTTATTTGCCTCAGTGTTCTGAATTTGTTTATACACATCCAAGTTCACCAAGCACGTGGAACCCTGCCGAGGCAGGGAGGCGGCAACGCACACTTCACTTTACCAGTGTCCTGTCGAGGTGACGACCGTTCTTTGTGAAGAATTTAATTTTTTTTCTGCATTTTGTTTCCTGAACAATAAAGTTATTATATATCATGCCATGGGTCCCAAGATGGATTGTGAGGGGACTGGTAGGATGGATGGTGGGGGAACTGGATAGATGGATGGGGGGTGGATGGATGGATGGATGGATGATAGAGGGGGACTGGATGGATGGTGTAGAGGGACTGGATGGATGGTGGGGGGACTGGATGGAGGGACTAGATGGATGGATGGAGGGACTGGATGGATGGATGGATGGAGGGACTGGATGGATGGATGGAGGGACTGGATGGATGGATGGAGGGACTGGATGGATGGATGGAGGGACTGGATGGATGGATGGAGGGACTGGATGGATGGATGGAGGGACTGGATGGATGGATGGTGGAGGGAGCTGACTAGACCACACACTAGAAAATGAAGGAATGACGACATTTCGGTCCATCCTGGACCATTCTCAAGTCGATCGTCTCAACTCACAATCGAGTTGAGAATGGTCCAGGACGGACCGAAACGTCGTCATTCCTTCACTTTCTAGTGTGTGGTCTGGTCAACATACTTCAGCCACGTTATTGTGACTCATCGCCTGCACATGGTGGAGAGAGACTGGATGGATGGATCGTGGAGGGAGACTAGATGGATGGATGGATGGTGGAGGGGGACTGGATGGATGGTGGAGAGACTGGATGGATGGTGGGGTGACTGGATGGATGGTGGGGTGAACCTCCATCCCCCACACCGCACCCCTCTCCGCTACACCCATACCCCCATCCCGCCACCGGACCCTCCCTGCTACTTTCATCCCACACACCGCACCCTTTCCGCTACCCCCATCCTGCCACTGGACCCTCCCTGCTACCTTCATCCCCCCCTGGACCCCCCCCCTCCTGAGCTGTACACTCTCAGCCACATCTGGATGCAATTATGGAAGGCTTCCTTGCTACCAGCTGGTGGATCAGGGGAGGCAGATTGCCTTACATTAAATTCTTGTTCTTTACTGACTGTGAAAGCCTAATTGACTGTAAATGGCTGAATGACTGTAAATGCCTGATCGGTTGCTACCACAACTGTGAATGCTTGACTGCCTTTGGTTATGAATGCCTGTGAATGCTTGCCTGACTGTAACTGGTTGTGACTGGAAATGCCTAATTGGTTGCTACCACAACTGCGAATGCTTGACTGCCTTTGGGTACAACTGCCTGAAACTGGTCTTGACTGTGAATGCTTGACTGACTTGTGACTAAGTGACTAGTTCTGACTGGCTGCCACATACTAGAGGCAGTGAAATGTTTGAAAGGAAAATCTGGAACCAGTGATGCAGATATGAAAGCATTTAAGATGTCTGGCAAACATCCTCTGATAATCTGACTAATGGGGACAAGCGTTATGGTTATCGGAGGCCCTCCCTCCACCACCGACACACCTCCCCAACCCCCATACACTCGCTCTTAAAGGTCACCGTCCCTCCCTGCATGCCTGCATGCCTGCCTGCCTGCCAGCCTGCCATCCAGCCTGCCTGCCATCCAGCCTGTCTCTCTCTGCCTGCTAGCCTGCCTGACTGCCAGCTTGCCTGCCAGCCTGCCAGGCTGTCAGCCAGCCTGCCTGCCATACAGCCTGCCTCCATGCCATACAGCCTGCCTCCATGCCATACAGCTTGCCTCCATGCCATACAGCTTCCCTCCATGCCATACAGCCTGCCTCCCTTTCGGCAAGCCTGCCTGCCTGCCATCCAGCCTGCCTCCCTCTGCCTGCCTCCCTCTCTGCCAGCCAGCCTGCCTCCCTCTGCCTGCCTCCCTCTCTGCCAGCCAGCCTGCTATCCAGCCTGCCAGCCTGCCTGACAGCCTGCCTGACAGCCTGCCTGACAGCCTGCCTCCCTCTCTGCCAGCCAACCTGCCTGCCTCCCTTTCTGCCAGCCAGCCTGCCTGCCTCCCTCTCTGCCAGCCAGCCAGCCTGCCTGCCTGCCTCCCTCTCTGCCATCCTGCTCGAGTGTGTTAGGCTTATCTTCGGGAGTGAGCCGGTCTCTCCCCCCACCACCGACACTCCCTCCCCCCCCCCTACATACCATACATACTGTCCTAAAGGTCAGGTGGTTCAACTCAACATCCATCCCTCCCAGCCAGCCAGCCAGCCAGCCAGCCAGCCAGCCAGCCAGCCAGCCAGCCAGCCAGCCAGCCTGCCTGCCTGCCTGCCTGCCTGTGTGCCTGCCTGCCTGCCTGCCTGCCTGCCTGCCTGCCTGCCTGCCTGCCTGCCTGCCTGCCTGCCAGCCTGCCTGCCTGCCAGCCTGCCAGCCTGCCTGCCTGTCAGTCAGCCTGCCTGCCTGTCAGTCAGCCTGCCTGCCTGCCTGCCAGTCAGCCTGCCTGCCTGCCTGCCTGCCTGCCTGCCTGCCTGCCTGCCTGCCTCCCTGCCTGCCTCTCTCTCTGCCTGAAAGCCTGCCTGCCTCCCTCTCTGCCTACCAGCCTGCCTGCCATCAGTCTGCCTCCCTCTCTGCTTGCCAGCCTCCTCCTCTGCCAGCCTGCCTGCCTGCCAGCCTGGCTTCCAGCTTTTCCCTCCCTCCCTAATTCTCCCATCCTCCCTCACTACTTCCCTCCCTTCCTGCCTACCTCCTAGCATCTCTTTCTACCTCCCCCTCCCTCCCTTTCTTGCTAATTCTCCCCCCCCCCCTCTCTCATACTGCCTCCCACCTAAGCTCCGCCAACCATCCACCCACCAGTCAGCCATCACTGACGCAATGCGTGCATTAGAAGCCGACAAGGTGCACAGATGTTTCTTGATTTTGCAGATATGTAAAACAAAATCACAGAATGAACACTCCAGCCTCGTGACAAATCAAAATAATAGGAATAATAGGCCGTGAATTTGTCAAGTCATAGGGTAGAAGGCACTTAAGAGTGGTGGCACACAACACAGTCAGTGGGCAAACTGGACCATCTCTCACCCACCACTAGGGGCCGGCGCGACGCTTGGCAGACTGCTTCCTACTCGAACTTTGTTCGTGTAGCATGACTTCCCAATCCCAATCGGGAAACTGGAAGTTTCGGATAACTAAAGTTCAGAAACCAAGTGGTACACTGTAACATGGTGCCAAGTGTGTGGCATGCCCTTCTGACATGTTTAGTGTTTCAAGGAGTTTCACACTCTCCAGAACTTTTAAATGTCCAAAAATAGTGCAAAAACCTATACATATTGATTGAGTGCATGAATATATTGATGAAAATTCAGAATACATATTATATTTGCTGTGAAAGAAAACACAGAACATCAAGTGACAAAATATTGAAAAATACAAGTGAAAAAAAATTGTGATGGAATATGTCATAAACATTGTAAATAATGCCACGATAATAAAATTGTGGCAACTCTGCCAAGTTGAATGCCACACGCAACGCCATCGGGAGGCACACTGCATGAGCGAGCAAGTTTGATGATGTCACGGTAAGATTTCTTGGCTCATTCATGTCAACGATAATATTAAATTATATATTAAAAATATATTAAATTTTTTTTTTTTTTGTGCTAGTGAACAGGGAACACATTTTAACAGTTTTAGAAGGAAAACAATTGTTTAAAATTTATTTTTTTGCACACAGCAGTGTTGTCAGATATTAATGGCTGCACTGTCTAAGGGCCCAAAGAAATTTTAGAAAGATTAGTTAATTTTTAATGCTTATGAATGCCTCACATTTTCTTCACTGTAAGCAGGATTCTTGTGAATGACAAAGGGTTTAAACAATTCATGAAATGTTCCCCTAGATGTGATATTATGTATATGTTAAGTTTAATTCTTTCATCATCAAATTATTACTAATGTGTACTAAACTACAAAATTGCATAACTTACTCCTGCAGGTCCTTAATTGCCTTGTCCTTGGCAAACTGCTCCTCCTGGCCCATCTGCATCACTTGTAGAAGTCTTTCAGTTTCTGACTGTGCAGCCTTGGCATCAGATTCAGCCTTCATTTGTGCCTTTTGCAATAATTCCATTTCCCTTTCTTTGTCTCCTAGCAGTCTTCTTAACTCTGCAAGCTGTCTATTGGCCTCGGTTGGTGGTGCTCCATCTGCTGCTTGTGCCTGAAGAAGAATGGAACTTAACAGTTTATATAATAATCAGGATTGTTGTGGAGCACAAGGCATATACTGAGTGCAATTTGATTGCACATTATTGCTGTCAAACTATTTGCAGGCGGCTGTATATCATCGAAACAGGGAGAGGGATGCAAAAGTTTTGAGTGTTGTTAGGCTCTCAGACTGCAGTTGGTAAGAAAGCAAACAACCAATCAGAGCCACTGACTCCACCTGATCAAGGTGAAGATAACCTGAGTCACCACAGCAGCAGTAGCCTCGGCTACATTTCCCTAGTAATGAACAAATCCACAAGGGCCGTGACGAGGATTTGAACCTACGTCCGAGATCATCTTAGACGCTGCCTTTATCGACTGAACTACGACATGGTCAAAAAGAGTTGAAACCGAAGTTCTACTGAACTTACTGGATCCTGCAGCCTCTCTGAGACACAAACCAGGGTTTTACACAACTCCCCCATGCACTCAAGCTATGTGGATTTGTGGATTTGTTCATTTGATGCATCATGCTATTGTGATTTCTGTGTGTAATGAAGTAAGGGCGAAGCGGGAGAACGGCCTATTGACATAGCTCGAGTGCATGGGCGAGTTGTATAAAAACCTGGTTTGTGTCTCAGAGAGGCTGCAGGATCCAGTAAGTTCAGTAGAACTTCGGTTTCAACTCTTTTGACCATGTCGTAGCTCAGTCGATAAAAGCAGCGTCTGGGATGATCTCGGACATAGGTTCGAATCCTCGTTACAGCCCTTGTGGATTTGTTCATTTGATGCATCACGCTATTGTGATCCCTAGTAATATTATCCTCCCAAAAGATGACTCGTCTCGCCTACATTATATATTTACTCAGTCAACCTGCCAAGCTGTTTTTGACCAGACCCAGAGTTTTGTGCAATCTGTACAGGAAGTATTCATGGTACCTCTTCAGAGCAAGATAAACTTGGATAAAAAACATTCCCCAAGGAAGAGTGGTTGTGAAAATATTAAGATTAGATTAGTGAAAGATATGGTGACAGAAATTTATAGAGTACTTTTCAAACTTTAGTCGTTTCTTTAGACAGTAATGAGTGCTCCTGCACACAATGAATTAAGTGTGTGTAAAAAATCGGCGTTGAATGTAATGAAATGCCATTTTCTGGATGAGACCCATAGGCTCCCCGGAGCTATCCGAGCTGATATGAATGTATTAGACCATGGCATCAGTCAAAGTGAATGGAGTTTGAGGCCGTGGCACATAGGGAACGGTGCAGAGCCGCAACCAGACACAACACATGATGCACCCCCCCGCCGAACCAACCCAGCATCACCAACCCAGCATCACCAACCCAAGGACCCCTCTGGAAAACAGTAGTCTCATTCTTTGCCAGAAAAGGAGACGGCTGCAATTAAACAAACCTACCACCAGGACCAAAAGAACAGAAATATCTGTGCTGGAGGAGAACATGAAGCTCCCCAACCTAACCCCCAGAGGCCAATGCCAACAGAAAAAGTGCCATCGAAAAACAATCTTTAACAGAAGGGACCACAACAAACCAAGGAAAAAAGAGAAAAGAGAGCACCGAGTCCAACGACCAGGATGGCTCAGGCGGCGCATGAACAGGCCTGTTTCACAGGCCATGTGAAACAACGCACGAGACAGCTTGCAGAATGGAGCAGAAGTAACACCCACCAGGTACGCAAGCTGAAGCAGCTCAACCAGCCCTGAACAATACGAGGCAACGATATTTGGCATGAGATGACTGTCCTGAAACAACCAAAAGTGGATGGACAAGACAACCCGATCCAAAAGAGAAGAGAATCAATGGAGGGACGAGAAATAACGAAAGGACCGCCAGGAAACTTCATACTGCTGCCGAGACGAAGCATGCAGGTGGGACACCATTAACAGAGCCACCTGCTCACCATACAACTGGTGATAGACCAGTGTCCAGAAAGACCAGATGCGAAGACATAGTGAGAAGATTGAACCAGCTACACAACAGACTGGCCCAATCAGCTGAAAGAGGCGGAGCCGCGGGAAGACCCCCGGGTCCGGACACTGAGCAAGCAGCACCTGAAACCAAGGCTGGGCCAGCCACCAAGGAGCCAAGAGGACTACTTTCCCTTGGTAAGTCTCCAAGTGAGCCAGGACCTGGAGCAACAGTAGAATCAGAGGGAAGAGGTACAGGTAACCCCACCTCAACCAGTTGTAGCGAGTAAGCTTATACTCACTCCATTATATCATCATCTTAACCCTTAAACTGCGCATGGCGTATATATACACCATGAGTAATATGTCCCACTGTGCGCATGGCGTACATATATGACATCGGTTGCCAGGTACGATTCAAATGGCCTGCGGCTACACGGGGTTCACATTAGCTTCCTTAGAGCTCTTGTAAACAGACGCCATTTTTATAAAAAATCGTGGGCAATATTCTCACGTGTGAGAGGCACAGTACTGTTGGAGCAACCAAGGCTGGTGCACGCAGCATGAGCGAACAGCATTGCTGTTCGGCTTGTGATCACAGCATCGCCAAAAAATGTTGAAATAAATATATACCTGCTTTTATTTAGCGATGACAATATTACAGATGACCGCTGACTGTGATATAAATAACCAGGGTTGTGATAATAGCAGGATTGTTGTAATAATTAGCGCTGTGGGAGGAGTGATGCTGAGGGACAGAGGGAGATTGCATCGTTTACTGACTGTGTGGTCACCTGTTATTGTTTGCATTCTCCATACCAGCTCAGTGGTTCTCTATGGTGAACACAAATGTAGATACTTATATATAATGTTTGTATTAGTGTAATAACAGCAAAAGGATTATGGTGGGAGGAGCAATTTGGGTGATGGAGGTGACGACGTCTGCATGATTTGTCTGGCTGTGCAGGGGTGGCCACTATGCTCTTTGGGCACTCTACAAGCTTAGGTGTACAGTTAAGGTGCATACAACATGTAGATAATTATATATATAATATGTGTATATAGTGTAATAACACTGCAAACAGTATTGTTGGGGGAGAAAGTTTAGTGCGTGTGACCTTGAATGAGTGAGGGAGCTGCCAGCTGACTGTGTGTATAGCGACGGCTCTTGGTGCCTGAACTAACTATATCAGCTTAGCTGTACAGTTGTGGTGAACAAAACATATACATACTTATATATAACGTCTGTATATAGTGTCATAACACCACAAATGGTACTGTTGGGGGAGAAAGTTTAGTGCGTGTGACCTTGAGTGAGTGAGGCAGCCGCCAGCTGTGTGTATAGCGACGGCTCTTAGTGCCTGAACTAACTATATCAGCTTAGTTGTACACTTGTGGTGAACAAAACATGTAGTTTCTTATATATAACGTCTGTATATTGTGAATAAAATATAAAACAGGATGGTGGGAGGAAAAAGTGGGCGAGTGAGGCATTTTTGAGGGAGTGGCAATGAGTGGCTGGTTGGTGTGTGGCGATAACTCCTCGTTGCTTTTCGAGTCTCAATACCAACTTAGTGGTTCGTTATGGTGAACAAAACATGCAGATACTTATATATAACCTGTGTATAGAGTGTAATAGCAGCAAAACTATTTGTTTATTGTTTTATAAACATAATAATTGAATCACTAATATGCACACCATACTTTTGAGTATAGCGATTATTCACCACTTTTATTATATAAATATATTACAATACACACTATTGAATAATATTACTGCAAAAAAACTAAGGAAAAATCAATCACATAGAAATAATTAAGTGATAATATCTTTGTGGCAACTCCCATCTGTCAGCATGGGTGACGCTGACCGGCTCTGACAACAGCTCTGTCAACGCCCACTTTTCGCCAGACTTCCTCGGTCAATTGCGCCCAAAATATGTCACCTACGATTTTTTTTTTATTTTTCCCGTGCTCAGGAAACACAAATTAACATTTTAAGAAGACAAAATAATTTTTTAGATTTTTTTTCTTGCGCACAGGGGTGTAAATATCCTCAGGACCCCTGAGCAGTGGAAGGGTTAATAGCATAACTAATTAGCACTAATTACAGAAGCTACAATCCTTTCCCCAATTACAGGTAATACTCATCTCATCTTGTTGGAGGGAGCTGAGGTGTAATCACCATATAAGCAAGCGATTTGATGAATAGCGGACAGTACAATTTCCACAGTCAACAATGTAGCACTCGGCGTGTACAGTTCTAATCGACCCAAGACGCTACAGCTTCGACACAGAGCAGACAGCAGACTACGACCGCATCGAGCCGCCACGCTCTCGCTCCCCGAGTTCAGACACTCACAATTCCTAATTGAGCCGCCATGCTCTTCCACAGAGCTCCACGACTCCAGCCTCACTCAGCTCTCTGCTCTGCTCCAGGCTTCGTCTCGACGTCTACGACACTGCTGTATCCAGGACTACTAAATAAATATGAAACTCACTAAACACTGTGTATCTAATCAACCCAACAACGTAACATAAACGTACGTTACACAGTCCTACCTGAAGGACTGTGAGGCATTCTTGAGGGAGTGGCAATGAGTGGCTGGTTGGTGTGTGGCGATAACTCCTCGTTGCTTTTCGAGTCTCAATACCAACTTAGTGGTTCGTTATGGTGAACAAAACATGCAGATACTTATATATAACCTGTGTATAGAGTGTAATAGCAACAAAACTATTTGTTTATTGTTTTATAAACATAATAATTGAATCACTAATATGCACACCATACTTTTGAGTATAGCGATTATTCACCACTTTTATTATATAAAAGGTCCACCTCTGAAAGCCCGTACGTCCAGCAGAGCCAACTGAATGAATCGGTGTCGATTGTCCATTCCGTAGACAGGGGAATGAACCATGACAGGCCGTCTGCCAGGACAATGGACACCCCTCGAACGTGAGCGGCCAGGAGAGCCAAACCCCGAGAACTCAGCAAATGAGTCACCCGAAGCAACTAGCCCCAAAGACCCAAAGACAGCATCGAACAGGCAATGAACCACCAGGGAGCAGTCCGACCATAGTGGCCGAGGCGCACAGGTAACGGCACCGAGCCGCAATTGGTCACAACACATGATGCACCCCCCAGCCGGACCAACCAAGCATCAGAAACCCACAGAACCCTCCAAAAGCCCGCCGTCTCGTTTTTTGCCAAAAAAAAAATAAGACCGCTGCAACCAAACAAAACGTCCACTAGAACCAAAAGAGCAGAAACTTCTGCGCTGGAAGAGAGCATGAAGCTCATTGACCCAACCCCCAGAGGGCAATGCCAACAGAAACAGGGCCTTCTTGAAACAATCTTGAACCGAAGGGGCCACCATAAACCGAGGAGAAGAGAGAAAAGAGAGCATACTGTCCAAGGACCAGGATGGCTCAGGCAGCGCATGAGCAGGCCGGAGGTAAAACAAAGCATGAGAAAGCTTACAGAACGCAAGCTGGAGCGGCTCACCAGTGTCACACAATACGAGGAGAGGAAATGCCAAAAAGGCCACCAAGACACTTCATTCTGTAGCTGAGATGAGCCCCGCAGGTGGGGACAACATGAGAAGCCACCTGATCACCACACAATTGGTGATACACCCGCGTCAAAAACCAGATGCGACAAGGGGAGGAGTAGATCAAACTAGCCATGTACTGGACTGGCCCGATCTGCTGAAAGAGGTGGAGCTGCTGAAAATGCCCCAGTTCAGACACCGAGCAAACAGCGTCTGAAACCAAGGCCTGGGCAGGGCACAACAGGGCTACAAGGATGACTTTCCCATGTGAAGTTTCCAACCGAGCCAAAAAATGAAGCAACAGCTGGACCGGAGGAAATAGGTACAGAGAACCCCACCACCAAGTCACCTGGGACCCCCCTCAATACCAACAGACTATGGGACTGCAGCTGGAGCAGTCACATAGTCTGGGCTGCTCCCGCAGCCTTGCTCCAGCAAGGCTGCGGGAGGAAATTTAAGTGACACAGACCAAGTATCCGAAATCAAGCCCAACCCAGGTCCAAACCTAGGAGGGATACTCGTAAACTGGAGACCGGAGCCAGAGTGACATCAAAAACCAGGCACAGACAACAGTATAAATATCCACTCAAGGGGTACAGCCCCACTATATGGGGCTGTACCCAGGTCGTTAAATGCAGGGCTCCGGTATTTCCAAAGTTGTTGAAGTGTCGGTAATATTTAAAGTAACATTCAGGTAAGATGTATTTTAAATAACTAAAATGAAATAAAGTTCATTGTGTAATTGCGTTCCAAGCTAGTGCCGCACCGACCATTAAGCCAGCTGTTGGCTGCTGCATAGACAATGCGTGAACACAGTCTGACAAAGTCCAGATAGGTGGAAAAAATTGGTTTATTCTTTTGTATTGCGAAATATTTTGTGTCTATCAATCAATGATTGTTAAAGTTTTCTCAATAAAATTTTAGAGATGTGTTTTATTTTACCTTGTACAGTAGAGGAAATGTATTTTTAATGTTACAACACAGGCATTGGCGACCAGGCCATACAATGGCGATCGAGCCCTGTCACTAACCCAGAGTTAGCAAAGACAAAATCTTGTGAATTCATCTTTTCTTTGCTAATGATAGAATATACACATATGGTGAGCCCAAAAAACATGAGCGAGCTGCCACACCCAGCCAGCCCTACTTCACTCGCCAACATTCCTCCTCCCACTATACTGTTATTGTTTTACTACACTATGTACACACGTTATGTATAAGTATCTACATGTTATATTCACCATAACTATACTGTACAACTAAGCTGGTATTGCATCCAAACAGCACAGTGGCCACCACACACCTCGGGGCCTCGTAGCCTGGTGGGTAGCGCGCAGGACTCGTAATTCTGTGGCGCGGGTTCGATTCCCGCACGAGACAGAAACAAATGGGCAAAAGTTTCTTTCACCCTAAGTGCCCCTGTTACCTAGCAGTAAATAGGTACCTGGGAGTTAGTCAGCTGTCACGGGTTGCTTCCTGGGGTGTGTGTGTGTGTGGTGTGGGAAAAAAAAAAAAAAAAAAGTTAGTAAACAGTTGATTGACAGTTTAGAGGCGGGCCGAAGGAGCAAAGCTCAACCCCCGCAAAAACACAACTAGTAAACACAACTAGTAAACACTGCATGACAAGTCCACAGCAGACGACACTACGAGTACGAGACCACCTCCCTTACCAAAATGGCTCCTCCCAACATACTCCTGTTGCTGTTATTACACTATATATACACACATTATATATAAATATCTACATTGGTGTTCACCATAGCTAACCACTAAGCTAGTATGGTGAGCCCAAATAAGAGTGGCTGCCACACACAGTAACACTACCTTGATTCCCTTCCTCCTTCCACAATACAACGAAGTGCTAATTATCACCACAATCCTGCTATTATCACAATCCTGGTCACTAAATCCTGTAAATGAATAATTGACCACAAATTTATTTTGTAAAGGAACATAAGAAGTCATTTGAAGATTACTTGATGGGCAAAATAATACTGTGGTGCTGTGACTAGCACTGTGAAGATCTTGAACAGCATTGATTCACTGATATTTGAGCATTGTACACAGTCATTATCACACTCAGGCTCTTCTGTAATACTATCATGGCTAAATAATACCAGTTACATATATATTTTGACATTATTAGGCGATGCTGTGGTCACACGCTGAACAGCAGTTCTGAGAGCTCATGCTGTGTGCGCTAGCCTTGGTTGCTCATTCAGTACTGAGGCTCTCACACCTGGGAATGTTGCCCAAATTTTTTTTTTTTTAAATGGCGTATGTTTACAAGAGCCCTGAGGAAGCTGATGTGAACCCCATTTAGTCGCGGGAGTTTTGAATCATACGCTATACCTATAAGTGATACCCATGTATCACTTGCATCTGACCTTTTTGTTAGGCCCTTATTGCACCTAGCATCATCAATATCATGACACTTATGTTCTTCAAACAATAAGGTCTGAATTCCACTGACAGAGAGCGATCTTTCACCACCGTGTTGGACCGGTGCTTGGGATTCAGAGGCGCGTGCGCCACCCATGGTTGCTCACTCAGTACTAACCCAGCCAGCAGCCTTAAGACATTCTGGGAATTTTTTTCCACAATGGCTGCCTCTCACTGGTGGTCCCATGAGTCCATTTCGTACACAACCTGCCACGCACGCATTTTGAATGGGTACGAAATATTCAAAAGGTGTTTTCTCGGTTGGCGCAGTTTCCCACCAACCGAGTTTTCTTGGTTTGCGCAGCACAATGGTTAACACACATGCACAGCCCAGGTGTTAAGGGGTGATTTTTGTCTCATGTGTAGACGAGGAGTCACAATAATGTGGCTGAAATATGTTGACCAAACCACACACTAGAAAGTGAAGGAACAACGACGTTTCAGTCTGTCCTGGACCATTCTCAAGCAAATTGTGAGAATGGTTAAGGACAGATCAAAACATCGTCATCCCTTCACTTTTTGTCTCATATTTAACTATCCTTCTAAAATCACTTATAGTTTCCTTTGTTGTGAGGCTTTTGCCTAAACTTTCTGTTTTCTTAATGATTTTACCTCTTTTGCTGCTCTGTCTATCCTACATTATACTTCAATTTCTAAACATCCAAAAATTATTATGGACTTACTTCTATATGAAGTGTTTTATACTAATTTACTGTTGTGTGTGTGGATACTAAAGTACTGGTTGGTAGTAAACAAATTTAGAATGATAAAATTTGTACATGCAGTTACTATATATTTTGCATAATTAATTCGCAGTGGATGTTCAGTCCTTCATCTGCATTACAAATTACTTTAACAAATTTGGTAAATACTTTTGAATATTTAAAGAGCAACAGTTAATATTAATTTCACCTACTTTTGCAAGTTGTTGTTCCAGGTTGTTAATTTGTTCTCTCTTGTTGTTTAATCGAGCATCAAGATCAAGTAACGTTTTTTCTTTCTCGTCCAATTGCCTGTTTCTCTGTTCTAACGACTGTACCTTCTGCTCCACCATCTAAACAAAATACAAAATAATTTAAGCAATGAAGCGAATCTGACATGGTAATGTGGTGCTGTAATTAAATTTTTATTCTACAGATGTGATTAAGAACAGCTAAATCTAGTTAGGGTTATGATACATATGGGAAATAACAAATGATAACCAGTGAAAGCATATTTGAAACTACAAATATTATTATTATTAATTCATAAAAATATCCAACATAATTATATAAAAAATATATAAAATATAATTTAAAGTACATTATTTATTATACAGTGACACCTCGACTTACGATTGCCCCTACTTACAAATTTTTTGAGTTATGATGTAAATTTTGTCGGAAAATGCGACTCGACTTACGACCGTGTCGTGAGCCACCCAGGGCCAACTCAAACACCGATAGATTATGGCACTGCAGCAGGATCAAGACCGCTGGATGAAGGGAAAGCAAACTAGCAGTGAGTACCAAACAAGGTGCAGCCAAGACAACCTAGAATGAAACCAACTTGGACTTCCACCAGTTCACCAAGAACCCAAACCTGGGGAGCTGGAAAAGAACTAGATCCCTGCCTGGCAGACACCCAGACTGACTGGGAGCCCACACCAGCCAGTCATCGAGGTAGGCTAAAATACAAACACCCAACAACCAAAGACAAGCCACTATGACTTGAACAAAGCATGTAAACATGCATGGAACCAGACTGAGTTCAAATATGAAAACCAAAAAGTGGTAAGCATGATGCCCTACCACAAAATCTAGCCAATCCCTGAACCTTGGATGTATTGGGACATGCCAGTGTGCCTCCCAGAAGTCCAGTGAGATCATCCAGGATACCGCCTTCAATACAAAATGAACATGAGACAAAGTGGTCATCTGGAACATAGGGCAAGGGATGAACTGATTCAGCCTCAAAAGGACGAGGATGAATCTGAGGTCCATCGCATCCCATTTCAGAACCAGGAAGAGGCCGCAAACCCACTGAAGCAACATAGTCATTTCGAGTACGCCAGAAGCCACCCACTCCGAGTTGACCTGATGCAGGTGAAGAGGAGGAAGAAGCCTGGCCAGAAAGACCTGAATCCCCAGAAGGTGGAGGAAGTAATTAACTCCACTGTAAGATGCATGAAACAACCCGAAAAGCCGACAGATTGTGGTACCATGAGCTGAAAAACTTGTTAAGCCTCCCCCTTCCATCACCTTGTCAAGGGAGTGAACAATGACCCAGAATCTGGCTCCACAGAAGGCCTATCCCAACCTATAGTACATGATGCCCCAGATCTACCTGACCGTCTCCAAGGACAATAACGAGACCCCTGAGAACAAAGGAGGTCCAAAATAGGCCTACAAACAGCAGATATAGAGGAGTGAAACTGCAACAGAACCTCCTCAGAAATGAGAGATGAGAGAAGGGAGGAAGGACAAGAAAGCCAGGGCTCATACTGAATCCAATGACTGGGCCAACACAGCATGAGGACACTCGAGTTGGTTGGTGAAGAACATCGCCACCACCTCCTGGAGCACAGGAATGTACAGCTTGGGCTAGCAGTTGTTGCAGCTATAGCAGAGGCTAACCTCCCACAATAGGCCCCAAGCCTAACTCCTCAGTGTTTTCCCAGAGCCTGTCAGTATGGTGTTCAAGTGGGCCCAGAATCTGCATGATGTAGCCCAAATGCAAACGGGCATGAGGTCATTCACCACAAGTGCCACCGACAACAAAGGCACTAGGGCATGGAGCTGCACGAGATCCACATCCCTAAGGTGTGTAGGAGCAAACAGGCAGTCAATGAGGGGCATAAAAGAAAGAGCCTCTAGGAACACTTGTAACAGCTCACACAACTTCAGTGCACGGGTATGATAAAAGCTGGGCCAAGCCCCAAATGAAAACAAAGGATTGTCTGCTAGCCAGAAAAACTCTGGAACCTCATAATGACTCCAAAAGAGGATTACCCCATACTCAAAAGAGGAAGGGTCTATCAAAGAAGTATAATCCTAGTTTCACAGGAGGAATATAAGCAGAGCCTCCCAAGCCACTGAAGGAGGTACCTGACAGGAGGGAAACCTCTGAAAAGATAGTCCCATGTCCACCTCCAAGGCAACATGGAACTAAACCCTGGAGGAAAGCTGCACCTAAACCATACTCATGAAGGGATAGAGGATATGAAAACCCCTCCCCCTGCAAAAGGAGACCTTCCTCAGAAGAAACACTGAAGCTGCACTCAAGGATTCTGGGGCAGAGCCAGAGTCCATACCCACAGCCCGGAATAGAAAAGGAGACTCCAGGGAAGACACTTGAAAAGGGTACTGGGGAACTGGCTGAAAGGAAAACCCTGAAGCCTTATCATGACTAACTGGCTTAAAGAATCAGAAAGGGCAACCCATAAAGCTAGCTGAGCAACATCCCACGCAAAACCCTGTACCAACCCAGAAACCCCCAGACAGTTTAGGGCCAGAAGCAGGGGGTTAAGATCAGAGAAAGGGCAAATCATGCCCAAAGGGAAAGGAAGAGGCTTGGGTGGAGCCAAGATGAAAATCATTAACACCTCTAATTCTGTGTTCCTAAACTCTAGACAGGGCAGCTCCATGGCATCCAACCAGGCACATAAGCTGTAACTGTAATCATGCCATGCTGTAACTGAGCAAAGTAAACTAACAAAGCAAAAGCCTCCTGATACACCTTCATCCCATCAGCAAGGTGAGAAAGAAGAGCCACATGGGGAGAGCAAATCCCACAGGATTCAAGGTCAAAGGTGTCGCCAACAGGCAGCAGCAGAATGAGTGATTGTTGTCTCGTGGAACAGATGATAAGCAACCTTTAAGCTTACACAAGGCAAGAGCAGGTTTAGAGGAGATGAGGGGTATCTATAGAACATCCATACCAGCAGGGAATTACCAGGGACTGAGGGTAAACCAAGCAGAACACCCAGGTACTGGGGATGCCTGGATTTTTGGTACCATGCACTCTTAAATCCAGGCTCACACTACACTGCAATGTTCAAGAAAGCCATCAAGAGCAAAGACCCAAAAATCACTTAGCTGAACAGCAGAGTCTGCATGACAGAGAGGCGACCAGGGAACCACTACAACCGTCCAGTGACCTTGACCACATCAGCACAGGAACTGATAGCTCAGATCCCTGGAGGTGGTGAGCCCCTTCCCACCTCCACCCAAACAAGTGGAGGAGGTGGGCAAACGTCCTCACACTAATTTTGAGAGATTCGATCATTTATTTACATAGTTTGGAGAGTTCATTAGGCTGGCTGTGAGGCTTTGGTCTCTTCTGAAATGAGCAGTAGTTTGTTTTGACTTGCTGACTTTCTGGATGCCTTCCCTGATTAGGTGGCAAAATGTCACTACTCCCTATGCCTCTCTGAAGGGCCAGGTTCTGGCTTTGGTACCTGGTAGGCCTAAGTACTTTATGGATCATGCGACCTGGTAGATGGAAACAAGCCTCAGTGAATAACTTCAGGGAGCCCCTAGGGGCTCCCGAAAATTGTAGCAAGTATATTATGTCAGTAATATACTTGCTCCATATTCTCATTAGCTTATGTGCAGATAATGAGATGGGTCTGTTAATTCTACTTAATCCACTAATTACAATTATTACCTCTTTCCATGTGTACAACTAATTACAGTTAATACTTCTTCCCAACCTGCTAGAGGATGGTCATGTGAGGTGAAGTCTGGTAATATGACCTGTCGACAGCGAGACATCATAAGTCTAACTCCAAGAGTGGTTCAGTACACCTTAGTACAGATTACAGATTCAGTACAGATACAGTGGTTCAGAAATATCACACATCTTCAACATTCACCAACAACAACAATGTAACACTCGACATGCCCAGTTCCAACCCCCTGACAAGATGCTTCAGCTTCAACAAAGAGCAAATAGCCAGACTCCAGCCGCATTGAGCTTTCATGCCTTCGTCCTGCACTCAGCTCCTCGACTTCACCCGCATTCAGAGTCCCACACTCGACACACTCACCCCTGCACCCAATCTGCTCTCTATCCCTGGCCTCACTCGGCTCTCTGCCCTGCTCCAGGCTTCGTCTCAACTACTACAACACTTCACTACATTACCAACAAACCCACTGCTGTAACCATGACATACTAAATAAATATAAAAAATACTAAACCTTTTGTGTCTAATCAACCATACACGAACACGTATCATACGTTACAAGATATAAAAAACAATAAAAAATGTTTGTTTATGGACAAAATAGAAAATATATGGCATGAGCCATTGCAACTCTAAACTTAACAAATATTTGTGACAAAAAAGAAAACTGGCCACCTTGTACAGGCATACCGATGTTACTATACCTACAAATATATATTTAAACAAATATGCATTATGGGAAGTACATACATAGCTACTTTATTTACTTGCTCACGTACACATTTAAGATTTATGAACATTTTAATAACTCACCTTCATTTGTTCCTCCAGCTGTCTCTTAATCACTTGTGAGTCACTGCCAGGCCTGGCGCCGTTCTGAAGTTTCTGGTTGGCCTCATGCAAATCCAGCTGTTTGGGTTAGGAACCACAGAGTTTCATAGATATACAATGATAATCTGTTTCACAAATAATCAAAAATATTAAGACTAACTAATGATTGATTCTTGAATTTCTATATGGAAAATATTTAACCTTGGAATCTTGAATAAGCTACAAAGCCTAATGAATGTACATGTACATGAATATAAATTTATTTATATAATGTATATATAGTACAGTATATTTTTTCAGGGTTGTAATTTCCACAGGGTGAAAATGCCAAAGCTACAAAAATCATTCTCGCACATTGTTGCCCTCATTTCATTAGACACAGGGAGCATAACTGACAAATTTGGGCTAGGATAATATTTAGAGGTCACTTAAAATACTTGAATATAATGTTCTCAAAAATGTAATTCTACTTTTTAAATTATGCGTTGTATTAATGAAGTTTTCATTTATGTATTAAATGTTTTACATCTTTTACCTTTTTTCTGGGGGAGCCTGCGGTGGTTCCCTGAAACTATCTTGCTGAGAGTACTCCATACTAAAATATCATATCATTTGTGGAAGTTCTGTTTGGCCTACAGGGGACCAGAGAAAGAACCTGGCCCCCCCCCACCCCCCTTCATAGAGGGAGCCTCCAGAATGTCAGTGAAGCTTTACAGACAACTGGAGGGTTCACAGAAAATGAAACCTCCAAACTGCCAAACAACTTAAATATAGAGCAATCTCAGCAAGTTGGCTTTCAGCGAGTCATCAGTGCTCCTCTTAAAAAGAGCCATTTCAGTACATTCAACACTGGGATTTTTACAGTTCTCTCCAGATAAAATGAAAAAAAAGTAGACAATACAAAATTTGGGTGGTCCAAAAATTTATTTTTTAAAATATATTGGGCCACAAGCATCCCATTGCTTCATATGGATAACTGATTAAACATAAAACAAAATACCAATGATGCTATTATTAATCTGCATCACTATGAAATTTGAGGCTTTGCCCTGAACTATATTCGATTCTTTCTTAGTGACAGACACCAATATGTAGCCATCAATAACATAACCTCCCGCACTCTACCAGTAACAGTAAGAATGCCACAGGGCATTATCTTAGAACCTCTCCTATTTCTTCTATACATATCAATGAGTTGCCAAATGTTTCTAACATTCTTATTTATTTTGTATTTTTATTTTATTTTTATTTATATATACTGTATATACAAGAGTTCTTACATTCTTGAACAGCCATTAACATGCATAGTGTTTCGGGCAAGTCCTCAATCTTAATTTAAAAACATACACACTCATCCCCAGGAAGCAGCCCGTAGCAGCTGTCTAACTCCCAGGTACCTATTTACTGCTAGGTGAACAGAGCATCAGGGTGAAAGAAACTGCCCATTTGTTTCTGCCTCTGCCGGAGATCGAACCCTGGACCCTTAGAACTATGAACCCCGTGCGCTGTCCACTCAGCTGTCAGGCCCCCTTTACTATTTGCCTATATGCACTATCCTAACCTATCTTAAACTATATACAATTTGCTGACTATACTACTTTGATCTATTCAAGACCCAAACCCACACACACTAAACAATACTGTAAATAATGAATTAAAAAAGTCCATTCATGGCTGGCAACCAGCAAACTCAAACTAAACACAGAAAAGACCTACTAAATTTTATTTGGAAGTCAATCATCAAATCAAATTCAACATCAGATAAACAATTTTAACATTAGCAATAAAAATGAGGGAAGTTCCTTAGCCTATACAGCCAACCACGTGCTTTGTGAACCTCTCGGGCTGAGACCCGTCGGTTAACCTGATGTGTTCGTAAAAGTGGAATGTAAATCTAGGAGAGAAAGGACACGACAACCCGATCCAAAACTGAAGACAACCTACAAAGAGACAAAAAATGATAAAAAGACTGCCAGGAAACTTCATACAGTACTATCATCGAGACGAAGCACGCAGGTGGGACACCATCATTGAAGCCACCCGATCACCATACAAATGGTGATAAACCTGTGTCACAAAAACCAGAAGCAAAGACTGGAGGAGAAGACTGAACCAGCCATGTACCAGATTGAACCGATCTGCTGAAAGAGGCAGAGCTGCGGAAAAATCCCGGGTTCGAACACCGAGCAAGCAGTGCCTGAAACAAAGGCTGGGCTGGCCTCCAAGGGGCCAACAAGATAACTCTCCCCAGGTATGTCTCCAAATGAGCCAGAACTCGAAGCAACAGCTGGACCAGGAGGAAGAGGTACAATTAAACGCCACCTTGACCAGTCCAGCTGAAAGGCATCGATCCACCCGGCCTCGCAGTCAGGGAAGGGCGCCATATATACTGTATAAACCCACTAATCCAGACTATATGGGAAGAACCCCAAGATGGATTAGCACGTTTTCCGGATTAATGTACTTTTTCACCACGGGAGTCCAAACGTGACCATTTCCAAAAATGTTTGTACAGATAGCCACTTGGTTTGCCAACTTAAGTTATCCGAAGGCAGGCAGGCAGTCATCCAGTCTGTCCAGTCAGTCCAGTCATCCAGTCTGTCCAGTCAGTCCAGTCAGTCAGTCCAGTCAGTCAGTCAGGACCGCGATGACCAGATGTTGTCGACTCCGAAGGCTGCGCCGGCTCCTAAACTGGCACCACTGGCCTACCACAATGTAAGGAACCCCGAGCCCTGGCACAACCCTTCCAAGAAGAGCTCCCATGCCCCCCACCCCCATCCCGAAGAACCAACAAATCCAACATGGGACGACAACTAGAAGCAGCTGCCTGTAAATACTGCACCACCGCAGACTCCACAAACAGCAAAGGATAAAAAAGCATAGAGAACCTAAGAACCAGGGCCTAAGCAGATTCCAAGGACTGAGCAAGTACCGCCTGACGACCCGCGAGATGAGAAGCAAAGTACAGAGGCACTGCCTCCCGCAGGATCTGCATAAACAACTTCAACAGGGCAGCCGATGCCTACACCACAAAGATCAACACACCATACCCAGGATCGTCACCCAGTGCCCCCCCCCCCCCATTCTCCACACAGGACCAAAGCCAATGACCACAAAGTGCACGAGTCCTCAGCTACCAGGGTCGCTGAAAGGGAGGGAGCCTGCACGTGAAGTTGCACAAAGTCGACGTTCCGAGGAAGAACAGGAGCGAACAAACACGCATTGAGGCATTCAAATTCTCCCCCCAGGTAAGCATGAACAACCGTGAGAGCCTCTTGCAACTCAAGCATGCAGGACCAACAGAACATATACCACGCCCCAACAAAAAGTGAGGACAGTCTGCCTACCAGGATGACTCCGGAACATCATAACAAGCCCAGTAAGGAAGGGAAGAACTGAACTCAAAAGAGACAGGATCCATTATCAAGGTGTAATCTGGGTCACACAGGAGGTAAGCCGCAAGGGCTACGCGCACCTCATGAGGCGGAATGTGGGAAGCCGAAAACCTCAAGAAGGGAGGGACCAAAGAACCCAAGGAAACCTGGAACTGAACCCGGGGAGGAGCTGATGACATATCAAACTCGTACAGGGAGGGAGGAGAGGAGGATAAGAAAACACCACCTCCTGTAACAAGCCCCGCACAGAGGGTACCAACACCCAAGAGGGGTCAAACGGGTCCCAAGCCCCACAAGTCTGCCTCTCTCCTGCCCCAGGAACCTCCACACCAGAACCCAGGGCCCAGCCATCCTCCAAATCCTCCATGCTAAAAGAAAAGGCAGAGTCCACCAGAAAAGCATGAAAGGAGGGGGGCCCACTGGTCAGACCCAGAAGCATCGGCTGGAGGAACTGGCTCGAATGCCTTGCTTGCCACATTGAATGGGGGCATCCTTCAAAATTGCCCAAGTCTCACCACCAACTGAACCCTGCCCCGACTCCGGAACCCTCCAATGCTTCAGAGCCGGGTGCAGAGGCAGGGGGGGGGGGGGAAGGAAAGGGACGAACAACAGCAGGGAAAGGACAAGGGGGTGGGGACAAAACCAAAGTTGAGGCAACTAATGCCCCCAAGTCCGGGTCCCTATAACCAAAACGAGGCAGCCGTGGGGCACCCAGGTGAGCAACCATCCTGGAGCGCTGCAGGAACCTAAAACGTGTATGCAACACCGAAGCTGCCACCACCCAAATATCAAGATCAGTGGATTGGGTGAATCAGAATACATGCAAGGAACACCACTCACAAGACTCCAGGTCGAAGGTGTCAATGACCCAACAGGCACCATGATGGATTGTCACCCTGAGACAAGGGGGGGCTATAGCAACCTTCAAACTCACACGATGCAAGGTGGCGACCCAGGGAACACATCCATCAGACCACTGAGCCCCAATGGGGATTTCCAGGGCCCTTAGATGCTCTGCTAAGGTAAGCCCAGGCAAGGTACTGCTAACCAGCGCCCCAAACTACCAAGCAAACTACTAAAGTGCTGAACCCCTGTTGAGCACTTTAGTACAGTAGTTTGCTTTAATAGTTCTGCTGTCTGTGCAGCTTCCCCCTCCCAGGGAAGGGGAAGCTGCGCAGACAGTGGCGCAGTGACGGGTGTGACATCATGCTCGTTTTAGTTTGGGGAGTTCTGTTCAACAGTTTAGCTTTCAGTAGCAATTTGTAACCAGATAGTGTTTGTATTGGGGTGTGTAACTCTCTGGGTGCCTGACCTGGTCGATGGCAGACATAGAATGCTTCCAACCACATGTGGGGTTTCTTTAAGTCATTGCTCCTCATGCCTCATCTGAGGGGGCTGGGTTCTGGCTCTTGGTACCCAGTAGGCAGAATTCCATTTGCTTTAACTGATGCCATGGTCTAATGCATTCATATTAGCCTGAATAGCTCCGGGAAACCGAATGGGGCTCTCGCCAGAAAAGGTTGGTTTACTCTCTAAAATCAGATATTATGTTCTCCACTCTGCTCTCCTTCCATTATACTACTCGCTAATCTATCCCTATCTTACATACGATATCTGTGCATGGGGTTCATCTACTGCAACTTACCTCAAATCCATCATCACTCAGCAAAAATCTGCTATCAGAACTATGACGAACTCTGTCTTCAGACAATGCACAGTCATTCTGTTTAAGTCTCTACACATGCTAGACATACACTCACTCCACACATTCTCTTGTGTTATTTACAAATACAAAATCTTGTTCCTAAATGCTTGTCTTGATTTGAAACTTTTCCTTGATAGGTGTAATAGAATCTATGAGCATCGCCCCAGAAATAAATATTTCTGTGACATCCCTAGAGTCAAACTAAATCTGTGCAAACACTCCATGCAAATAAAAGGACCCAGTCTATGGAACTGACTTCCTAATGAATTAAAAAGTTGTCTAACCTATGCCTCATTCAAAAGTAAAACCAAAAACTACCTAATTTCAACCTCATAGTTTCCAACCCTGTGCTTCAAACTCACACTGTATCTTTTGCTACCCACTCCCCAATATATATACATCTTCAATTTATATTGTAATCACCTGTCTATTTATATTGTAGTTATATGTAGATATAAAATTTTGCTACAATATACCTTTTTATCTTGCCTGATCTGTTTAGTTTAATTAAGGACTTGGCCAAAATGCTAGGCATATTAGCAGCTTTACAAGAATGTAAAAATACCAATATTATGTAATCTCACAAACCCATTGTACCTTGTTATAAATAAATAAATAAATCAATAAATAAATAAATAAATAAATAAATAAATAAATAAATAAACTTTGGCTCAAACAAATAATATTTAGGAGTCAATGAAGAAAATATAAAAATTCTTATTTTTTTACAGGTATATATATAATTCATACAGATATTATTAGCAAGAACCATATCACTAAGAGATGTATCAGCAAAGCATATGCGCTGTAACAGCTAAATGCCTTACTGATTATGAAAAGTGATCATAGGTGTAATCTGTTAAAAAACTGAATGAAGCTGAGAAATGTCATGAATGAGGCTTGGTGATGATTTAGTGTTAGATTAGTATTAGTAAAGTCCTTGTGGCTCACAGAGGAGATATTACATGTTATATGAGCATCATGCCAATAACATACATCAAGATGCAACTTACTTAACTATTATTTTTTCCTGCACAATAAACATAATATTGTGTATGCAGTACACCATGATGACAGACAGTAAGGTATGATGAAATACTAGCAATGCGCTTAAAAGGTAAAAAAATTTGATCAATTAAAATAATAAAACAATTGGGGCTATGAAAAGAAACTAGAGAACATAATAACAGTAAAATAATTATATACAAATTAAGGTTGAAATAGACAAAATTATTGAAATCATTATTTTAAAACATGAGAGAAATATTTTATTTATCGAGAATAAATAAAAATGCTGAAATTAATGTACACAAATTCTACCGGTGTGTAATGCTATCAATACATTATAAGTTCGTGAAAAAAATGAGGAAATTATCTGTGTAGCTTAGAATAAACATACTTAACCCCTGGGCAGCACTTGGGGTTATAGCCTGCAACACCGCCAACGTGCAAAAAAAAACTAAATTCAAATTTTTGTTTTTCTTCTAAGATTGTTAATTAACACTTTGCCCAGCCCAGTGTGCATGCCCCTACCAGGCCTACCTCAAGATGGACCTGGCGTTTCCCAGGAGCGCACACACCACACTAAAATATGTATACTTTTTTCCAGTGTTCTGACCTCAATTTCTATGCTATGTTGTTCATCTTGGTATAAAGTTGTCTACAAGCTAAAGGCACGCATTTTAAAACTGTTCCCATAATAATCGAACAATAAATGGAATTTTAACAAATATTTTACTTTTGGAAGCAAAATATGTCTCTTCCGGACATCCGTAGAGTTAATTATGGATGCAATATCCGTCGCCGCCAGATGAAAGTGTTAAAATGTGTTCCCTGATCATGGGAAAAATAATAAAAAAATTGTAGGCGACATATTTTGGCCGCAATAGGGTTAGGATGTCTGGCAAAATTAAAGCGTTGACAGATTACGCATCCCGAATTGGTCTTCTCCACCTACGCTGACAGACGGGAGTTGCCACAAAGATATTCTAGTATTACCTAATTATTTCAATGTCTCTGATTTATTTTTTCTCTTTTTTTTTCCGTAATATTATTCAATAGTGCATAGTGTGATATATAATAAAGTGTGTGAGCATCACTATACTCAAATGTATGATGTGCATATTATTGATTCAATTATTATGTTCATAAAACAATAAACAAATAGTTTTGCTGTTATTACACTACACACACACGTTATATATAAGTATCTGCATGTTTTGTTCACCATAGAGAACCACTAAGTTGGAATGATGAGTCCAAACAACAAGAGTGGGCTGCCACACCTAGCCAGCAGCAGCTACCTCCCTCCTTCCTTCAACACCTCACTCGCCAACATTGCTCCTCCCACCATACTGTTTTTTTTCTGTTACTACACTATATACACACATGTTATATATAAGTATCTACATGTTTTGTTCACCATAACTGGACAACTAAGGTAGTATGGTGTCCAAACAACATACCAGCTTATACCAGTTTACAAATGTGAGAAAGGCTGCATGAACGAGCAAGCCATAGGTCACTAAGAACTCTATATGAGCCAGCCAGGATCCCCATAAACGTACACAGTACCATGACCATCGCACCATTGATTGTCTGTAAGGATTGGTCAGTCCTGCTGCTAATTAACTAAGCTCCATGACTAATCAACCCCTGACAACACTCATGGATCCATTTGGGTACAGTTTTTCATCAAATTCTTGTGCCATAATTTTATAAAAAACTGAACCCAAATGGATTCATGAGGGTCATCATGAATAGGGGAGGGGGAGCCTCTACCATCAGTTCTTGACTGATGTTAATACCTGGCAGTCATTGGTGTGCTTTGGCTTCAATTTCTTGTTTTGGTGGTATTTTGTCTTTTTAGGCAGTTCCAATATTTGTGTGCATAAGCCAGGAATTTTGTGTACTAGAGCTGCATGTATTCAGGGTTATCTTCCCTGTGCACTTTGTAAGTACTACCCTTGCACAGTCAGGGTTACCTTCCCTTGGGCATTTGGAAAACACTCACATCGGAGCTTCCTCTCTCGAGGTGGTCCTCGCCCTTGGAGTAAGCCGGGGGTCTTGGGCTTTCCGTTTTGCCCAGAGTTTGGAGGGTGTTTTTGGCAACACCAAAGTAAGTAAAAAGTAAATTTTTAATTGAGGATTGAGTAGTCATCTTTACTAAATACTTTGGACAGTTTTTCTCAAATATTCTTCTTGTGGCTGCTGATTTCAAGTCACTGGGTAGTGTCCAAATATATGACCATTAACACAATGTGTACAAAACAAGTTAAAACATCAGTGTCAAAATATTTTTCTATTTCCATATCCTAAATTATGTCCAAAAAGCATCTTATGGTAATTTTTACATAAATAAAATTGGATACATTTTTTTTCTCTCCCTTAAAATATAGATACAAGAAAGATGATCCAGCCAGTAAACAATAAATCTCTGGTCCCTCCATTCCCCCAACTGACCTGTTTTTTCTCCAGCTCTGTAACCAGCAACTCAAGCTGACTTTGAAGCCTTTGTTTTTCAACTGCAGAATTCTTCAATTCATTATTAGCTTTGTCCAAATCGGCTTTTAATCTTTGTGTATCTGGGTTCTCTCGTGGATTATTGCTCTGTTTCTGTAACTGTTGTTGCTGTTGATGTATTTGCTGTTGCAAAATCTGCAGTTGTTGTGTTTGCTGTTGTATTTGTTGTTGTGATTGTTGTGCTTGCTTCTGTAATGTTTGATTTTGTTTTTGTGCCTGTTGATTTTGTTGAGTTATTTGCTGTATCTGTCTATTTAGCTCTTGATTCTGCTGATTCAGCTGCTGAATTTGCTGATTTGTTTTCTGACTGTCTTGTGCCATGGTTTGCATTTGCTTTTGCATTTCTTGGACAGCTCGTTCAGCTTGGTCTGCTCTCTGTTTTTCAGAGGTGACACTTTGTTGCAATTTGGTTGTCTCACCTTCACCCTTCATGCTTGTCTCCTTTACCTGTTTATCCAATTCTGAAGATTCTCGTTCTGCCTTTTCTGCTCGTAATCTGCACTTTTCTCCTTCACTGCGCAATATTCCTAGTTCTTTTTCTTTTCCTTGCAATTGAACAATCAAGTTCTTTAACTCTTTTTCAGCTTCCCTCTGAATAAGTCCTGCCTCCTTCTGGGCAGCCTGAGCAGTTTGTTGAGCTTTCTGTACCTCTTGCTGCAATCTCTGAACTTCTTTCTCTGCTTCTGCTCTCAATGCATTAAATTCCTTTTCCTTTGAAGAAAGCTGCCCACTCAGTTTTTGAATTTCCTTTTCTCTGCCTTCTAACATGTCCTTAGCTCCTTGCTCCATTTCCTTGGTTGTATTATTCAATTCAGATTTTATTCGTTTGTTTTCATCTCTTGTTTTTTGTAGGTCAGATTCTGTTTGTTTCAGTTCTTGTTGGAAGTTTAGAAGCATATCTTGTGATTTTTCTAACTGCTTTACTAACTGATCGCGCTCTGATTGTAATTGTTTTAATTCAGATTCTAATTTTGATATCATCTTTTCACGTTTTTCTTGAGTTGTATTTAGCCTTTCTTTCTCTGTTGCAACTTTTGAGAGTTCATCCTTAGCTCTTTCAAGTTCCTTATTGAGTCTTATTATCTCTTCTTTGCATTTGTCAAGATCTTGATTTGACTTTTGTTGGTAATCAGTAGCTTTACCAATCATTGATTTGGTTTCTTCTAAGTCTCTCTTATGTTTTTTATTTTCTATTTCAAGTCTCTCCTTTGTATCATTAGCTCTTCTAAGCTCAGTTTGTGATTTTTCAAGGCGTTCATGGAGTTTTTCAAGCTCCACTGACATTCTTTCAAATTCAATCTTTGCTGATTCATTACTTTCTTGGTATTTAGACATATGTTGCTGTGACCTTTCCATCTCATGAGTCAACCGCTGAACTTCCAGTTCTGCTTTCTCTTTCCCTGCTTGAACACGATTCAAGTCAGCTTGGCTACGTTCTAATCTATCTTTCAACTTATTTACTTCGATCGAGGTCTTGTCCACCTCAGTCTTGTTGCGATCTTGAGCATCAAGGAAACGTTCAAGCTGTTCTTGGCTTAACTGCAAATCACTCTTAAGCCGCTCATTTTCACATTCCAATTTTTCCACCTTCTGTTGTGATTTTGTACATTCAATTTGAGACCGTTCATACTTATCTTTAGTCTTTTCATGTTCAATATTCATTCGTTCAAGTTCTCCTTCATATTTTTCATGAGTGGTGGTGAACTTACCTACTCTTGATTGTGTTTTATCTAGCTCTGTTTTCATACTTGCAATTTCTTCAGAGAGTTTTTCATTTAAAAGTTTCTCTTTTTGTAGATCAATTTGGCTTGTGTCATATCGCTCTCGTAACCGCTCATTTTCAGATACAATCTTTTCAATATCCTGTTTATTCTTTTCATAATCTAACTGATATTTACCTCTTTGTTGATCCGCTCTGTCCATTTCACTCTTGAGTTTGGTCACCTCTATTTCATACTTCTCCCGCAAAATAGATTCTCTTTCAAAGTCCTTCTGTGTCTTCTCCAGTTTGTCCTTCACCCTTTCTACCTCAATTTTCAATAATTCATAGTCTTCTTTGGTTCGTTCTGTATTGTCCTGATATTTACCCATCCGAACCAAAACTCGATCCATTTCAGCTTGTATGTTCTCGCATTCTTGCTGTAACTTTTCCTTTTCATTACGAGCTTTACTAAGTTCTAAAGTGTTTCTCTCATATTTATCCTTATATTTTTCAACTTCAATTTGTAATCTAGCAATTTCTTCCTGACTTTTTTCTTGGCTGGTCTGTGCCTTGCCATACTGTGCCTGGGCTCGCTCTAGTTCAAAAGTTAATTGATCCACATCATTTTGTAATTTTTCCTTCTCACTACCAACACGTCGAAGTTCAACTGTCGTTTTATCGTAACGCTCTTTGAGAATAGTCAAATCCACATTAAGTCTTTCAATTTCCTCTTTTAATTTTTCTTCAGCCTCCTTAGCTCGGACACACTGGAGACTTGAACGATCATAGGATTCTTGAATACGGTCATAATCTTCTTGTAGTTTAACTTTTTCATCTTTGATCTTATTAAAAAGAACTTGAGTCTTTTCAATTTCAACTTGAAGACGTTCTTGTTCTGCTTGTGCGGATTCCAATCGGGTTTGTAGACGGAAGTTCTCACTCTGTGATCTGTTGAAAAAAGATTTAATTAAGTTTTTTATCATTACACCTTTCAATGCAATATTTGACTGAACTTTAATGAATGAAAATGATTATTCACTACCATACTTGAGTTTTTCCAGATACGTAGAAAATAATTTTCAAAGACTGTGTTGCTTGACAAGAAAGACAGACTGGGAATCCTAAGATATGAAGCCTGGAATCCCGGACAACAAACCAAGTGTTACAGGAGACACGGCACAGGCGCTCAGGGAACACAGCCTGAGGGGGATCAAGGCAAGGGCAAGGACACACAGCCAGATGGCGCAGGGCACACAGTATGAGGTTCCAGGACAGTACCCAGAAGCCAGGCACAGCAAAGACCCAGAGTACACAGTCTGAGGCCAGGGAATGTATTTTGGAGCCAGGCCACTAAGTTGAAAATATAAATAATAGTTATGGCAAGAAATAGCAAATGTAATTACATTAGCTGTATTAAAGTATTAAACCTGGAACTAAAGTCATAAGTTGTGAGACTTTCCTAACCCTACAACCCTACCCCCTTTTTTATAAACCAACAATCTTGGAATTCCCTTTGAAAATCTAACAAATCTACTCCTTCCAAGGCAAATCTGGTCTCAATACCCTTACTTTCACAAACCCAACAACACTGATCTTCCCTTCATTTGCTGACCTGCCCACCATGTAAGGAAGGGATCCATTTTTAGTGCATTTTGGATGAAACAAAACAATAACAATTTTCATGTGAAACACTAATTTAAAAAACCAGCATTGAATGTAATGAAACGCAATTTTCTGGTAATGAGCCCCAGAGGCTCCCTGGAGCTTATCGGGCTAATGTATGTTATATTAGACCGGGACATTAGCTAAGGAGTTCAGACCTACCAGGGACCAGCGCCAGAACCTGGCCCCTTCAGAGAGGTTTCAGGGAGCAATGGCCCTGGAAAACTCTCTTATGGTTGGGGTTTTTCCTTATCTGCCATCGACCAGGGTTAGGCACCCAGAAAGGTAGGCATAACAAAACAAACCCCACATGGCAAGATATTAAAAAAAAAAAAAAATGAACAGAGGTAGAAACTCCCTACAATCCCAAGGAAACAAGCAAACATCACAACTTACTGCCACACCGATTGTCTGCACAGCCCTCCCTGCCCTGAGAGGGGGAGGGGGGGGGCCCCCGGACCTCACCGTGCCGGCTGCTTAGCACCAGTTCGGAAGCTAAGCTTCAACCAACGCGAAAAAAACACCGACCGGTGGGAGGGAGGGTTGCCAGGGAGCTTCCGGGGTTCACCCAGAAAATGGCGTTTCATTACATTCAACGCTGGTTTTCTGTGGGGAGCCCCTACGGCTCCCTGTAGCTTCATACCCAAAGAGAAAGAAAAGAAAGGGCTGACCCAGGAAGCGGCCGTCACAAACTCCGCAACGCGAAGTCGAGACAACAGGCAGCAACCAGCAACCTAAAGCAACACAAGAACGCACAGGAGCAGACACGCTCACAAATGAACGGGCGGCCAGGAACCTGTGCGACCCCCAAATCCTCGCGCCCGAATTGAGCCCAAGACGTCACCAAACACGGCAGCGAAAGCTTCAAACGTCCGAACAGCACGGGCGCAAGGACAGACTGCAGGCTGGTAGACTAAAGACAATTGCAGACGACCTGGGAGACAAGCTCTGAAACAGGGAACGAGGGGAACTAGATCAACCCAAAGCGCATCCCCAGCCACAGCATGCAGGTAACGGCGAAGAGCCGCAACTGGAGAACACATGTCCCACCCCCGGCCGAGCCAACCAAGAATCAATAACCCAAGAACCCCTCCGTAAAGTAGCCGTCTCGACCGTTGCCAGAAGGACAGAGCAAGGCTGCAAGCATACAAACCTACCACCAGTACCAAAAGAGCAGACACCTCTGCGCCGGAGGAGAGCCGGAAGCTCCCCGACCCGACCTGCAGAGACCAATGCCAACAGAGTATAGCCTTTGAAAAACAATCTTGAACTGAAGGGGCTACCACAAACTGAGGAGAGGAAGGATAAAAGGGCACCTTGATCAAGGACCAGGACAGCTCAGGCGGCGCATGAGCAGGCCGGAGGTGAAACAATACTGTACGAGAAAGCGTATGGAACGGGGCGGATGTGACGTCCACCCCGAAAGCAAGCAGGAGCGGTTCCACCAGTGCCACACGATACAAGGCGACAGTAAGAAGCATCAATTAACAGCCTGAAAACCCCAGAAAGGTCAAGACAACCCGATGCGAAAGAGAAGACAACCTACGAAGAGCAAGAAAATGGTGAATAGAAATGCCAGGAATGTCATACTGTCACCGAGACGAAGCTCACAGGTGGGACACCATCAACGAAGCCACCTGATCACCATAGAGATGGTGATATACCCGCGTCAAAAGACCAGATGCAAAGAGCTGAGGAGAGAGCCGAACCAGTCACGTACAGGACCGGTCCGACCTGCCAAAAGAGATGGAGCCGCGGGAAACGCCCCGGGTTCGGACACCTATCAAGCAGTGTCTGAAAACAAAACTGGGCCGACCACCAAGGGACCACGAGGACTACTCTCCTTCGGAAGGACTCCAGCCAAGCCAGAACCCAAAGCAACAGCTGAACCCGGAGAAGAGGAAGAGGTAACTCCACCTCGACCAGTCCTGCCGAAAGGCATCCACTGCGAACGCCTCGCAGGCGGGTAAGGGTGCCACATAGAATGGGAGACGCCGAGACCACGCCAACGTGAAGATGTCCAGGTCCAGGAGTCCATACGTCCGGCACAGCCAACGAAACAAGTAGGCGACGACTGCCAATCTGTGAACAGAGGAATGAACCGAGACAGGCCGTCCGCTAGGACGTAGGACACACCCCGGACATGAAACGCATGTCTAGCCAAACCCCGAGAATCCAGCAGAACGAGCCACTCGAAGGTACCAACCCCAAACGTCAAGGACCTAAGAGAATCTCCATGGTTCCGGCAATGACCCACCTGGGAACAGTCCAAATGGAGCCGGATGGGAGAGCCCCGAGTGACCCAAACTCTCCAAAACGCAAACCCTACAGCCACGAACTCCTGAACCGTGCTGTGAACCCGACAGATGGACCTCACCATTCCCGTCCGGCTTGGTGAGCACTGGTCACAAAGCTCCAGCCGAGAGATGACTCATCCGTGAACACATGGGGAGGCGCCAAGGCACGGAACCCCGAAAACCTTAAAGAGAAAGCCGGTGACGCAGCACAAACACAAGATCCCCGGAGGACGAACCCAACGACTACGAGAGCAGAAGGGGAGACCCCGAAGGAACCAAACGGACGCCGAAGCCAAACCCAACCCGGCAGGCAGATCAGCACGGCGAAGTTCCGACTTCCGCATAACCGCTCGAGCAACCGCTGAGCGACCCGGGACCCCCCTCATAAACAGGCGAAGATGGGACCACAGCCACAGTAACACTTCTGGAGGGAAAGACAAAGAAGCGGTCCAAGAGTCCTAAACAAGACCCAGCCAGGTCCAAACCCGGGACGGAACCAGATGGAGTGGCCTCCAGATCACCAGGAAACCGAACCCGGCGATCTGGAAAGAACCACACCCCTGGCGAGCAGACAAGCGGACCGACTGGGAGCCCACACCAGCCAGTCGTCGAGGTAGGCCAGAAACCGAATCCCGAGCAGACGCAGACAGGTCACCAAGATCTGGTAAAGATGCGTAAATACACTAAGTGCTAATGACAAACTAGGGAAGGCAACAAAAGCGGCAAGCCTGAAGCCCAACCACCATCTGTGCCAGTCCCAGAATCCTGGAGAGGAATGTGCCAAGAAGTGACCCGGAGGTCCAGGGACACCATCCAGGCACCCGGCCCCAACAGAAGCCGGACCGGAGACAACAGTCTTCCAAAGAGGGCAAACAATCCAGGGTGCAGACTGCGCAAGTCCAGAAGAACCGCAAGGCCCATGTTTGCACTAAAACATGCGGGAACCTCGGAGGGATAGGGTAGAACGACGACGTCCAAATGCAACCATACTAAGATGACACGACGAAGCACAGCAAAAGAAACCCACCCCACTAGCCCTGAACCTCCCAAAGAGGGGAGAAGCCGCCCGATGTGACCAGAGGTCGGAAGACAACCACAAGCAAGAGTCAACAGAGCATGCTGCTCCCCCAGTGCCCCATCAACAGTGAAGGAAAGGGAACTACTCCTGAAAGAAAATGTATATACAGTGGCACCTCGATTAACGAGTTTAATCCGTTCTGGCACCGAGCTCGTTATGTGGAAAACTCGTTTTAACACTATCGCCCATGCAACGCGCGCACCGCAGACTTTGACGTCATGGCGCTAATGGTGCGGGCAAGCGTGAGGCGATGCCTAAATGTGTATACTCGTTTCAGTTTTCTCACCTTAATTCTTGTGCTACGTCGTTCGTTTTGGTATCATTGTGTTCGCAATTAAATCCCCTGCAGATGTATATGCACATAATGTCCAAAAGCCTGGCGAGACTCCCCGCAGCAAAGCCTAAAGTTACCCGTGAATGAGCATCAATTTGCATACCACAACCTAATGTGTATATTCATTCAGTTTGATAACATCAATTTTCGTGTTACATTGCTTGTTTTAGTATCAAATTGTTCGCAATATAAAGGCGCGCATTTTAAAACTAGTCTCAGGAACCCGCAACATAGGCCCCAGGGCAGAGCTGTCTTCTATGTCCTCTGCCCTTAAAGAGAAGGAAGAGTCCAAGGAAAAGGCCACTGGTAAGACCCAGAAGCCTTGGCAGGAGGAACAGGCTCGAAAACTTTCGTCCCCAACCCGAACGGGGCAACCCTCAAAGCCGCCAAAGACTCGGCATCAACTAAACCCCACCCCGACCCAGAACCCCACAGACGGTCAGGAGCCAGGAACAGGGAGGGAAATCGGCTAACAGCACCTAACCAAATGGGGCGGCTCCGGGGCATCCGGGTGGAAAACCAACCTAGCACATTGCAGCAACCTAAACCTATCTTTCAACACGGATGCCGCCTGTAC